GGGAGGAAGGAAGGAAGGAAGGAAGGAAGGAAGGAAGGAAGGAAGGGAAAGAGGGAAGGAGGGGGGGAAGAGGGAGGGAGGGGGGAAGGGGGGGGGAAAGAAGGAGGGAGGGAGACCCAAATGTATGCTAATCTGCTGTGAGGAGCATTCCTTTCCAGAGGACCCCACTGTATCCTTCAGTAGGTGACTGACTGTGAAGCAGAAGAGGACAAACAACCCAGGTGGACTCTTCTACCCTGGCCTGTACTGCACTCTCCATGGTGTCATCCGTGAACCCCTGAGCAAGCACACATGTCCACGCCCGTGCTCTACACGCAGAAGCGTGAAGAGCAAAGCCCTGCAGTGTCACATCTGTCAGTGTTCAGAAGCAGCTTGCTGCATGAATGTGGGTCACAAGGGAACACCACTGCAAGGCTGGTAGGAGGAGGTCTGGACTCCTTGTGCCCTCACTGCAAAGATAAAGCTCCCTGGTACAAGCAAAAGGAAGTCCAGGCCTACCCTTGGAAGCCATGTGTGCCATGTGTTGATTAGGAGTCAGCAGTGAAACCCACATAAGCAAACAAGAGGACACTCCTTGAGGGAGAACAGTGCTTCAAGACTACCAAGATGTAAGTCAACCTGGACAGAGGAAGGAGAGCCATACAAGGAACCAACACATAGACACAGCATGTAATTTAAAATTGAGAAGATTCAGCAACAGCACTACACACAAACAGAGCCCATCCAGACACCCATGCGCTGATATCCTGACCGCACAAACATAAACATCACTGGCCACGAAACAGATGTGATGCACCTTGAGATACTGAACTAAAAGCAAACAAAGCAGAGTGACTCAGACCCAAATGACTAAATGGTGTCCTTATCTGGCTACACCCGGAAAGTGCCAAGGAAAGGTGTCTCTCCTCCCCCATCTCCTCCCACCATCTCAATAGGAATGAAGATCCTGTTGCAGGACAGACTGACCCCAACACCTTGACATCAACCAGTTCCACTACAAGAGGCTTATGAGGAAGCTATATTCACTCATACACACTCACTCAGTCACACACACACACATACACAAACACACACCATGAGTCTAGGCAGATATTTCTGGAGTGTTGCTTGCAGGGTCTAAAAATACATTTTTGTCCTCATATTGTCAAGTAAAGTCTGTGATTTCAGAACAAGAATGACTGATAATGAATGGTAAGTGTGCTATTTCAGTGTGAGGCAGCTGGTCCACACCGATCCGATGGATCCGACGGTGGAGTCCATCCCGGCTCCTGGTCCTCGTGGCTCCTTCAGACTTTGAACTTAAGTCCACCTACTGCTGCTCAGGGATAAAAACAGAGCTTCCTAACGGTTCTAGCAATTACAGCACTTTCACCCAAGATGCCCCTAAACAAGTCAATGTCCTTTCAGATAAGAA